AAAGCACTTTGTTTATATTTTATTTTATTTGTCTTTCAAATGATTTATTTTAACAGCATTTAATTTACGAAATTATCTGAAGATATTTCGTCTACAAGTTAATTTTTAATCACAGAAGTAGAATGTCTAAGTAAGAATATCTTTTCTATTGCATTTTGTTTTTATTGTATTTTACAGGTTTCAAAATTTTCATAGAAATTTAAAATGTCAATTTTTTATGAGACAGAGTTTAAGAGTTTTTGGAATGATATAAGTATAATAACAAACATGTAAAGCAATGGACTATAGTCAAATATCAGTTGAAATATTATGCTCAAAACAGATCAAAGAGGGTTACAAATGCAATAACATTTTTCTATTTTAAATCAATCAATAAAAAATGATGAAATACTTAAATGGGCATGCATTTAAAAATGGATTAAAAAAACTTTTAAAAACTAGAGAACTGAAAAAAGATGGACACTCAAACAACATAACTGTAGATACGTAATAAATAAAATCAAATTTTTTTTACCACACATTCTATAATTTTCAAATACACAAACTAACCACACATGCATTCATGCAAACACAATGCACATGCATTCAGGATTAATTAACTGAATACTTAATTAGACCTATCACTGCAAAGTTAAGAATAAAATAGAAATAGTATATAGTTTATGATGGCAACTTTAGTCTCACAGCAAAAAAAACAAAGAATTGTTAATAAAAATATGTTAAATGCAAATCTAGAAAAATTGCTTAAGCAGATCTGTTCACAACAAATATAAAGATCTCATAGCTTAGCTCCTCTGTGGAATACTTTGGTTCTGAATCTGTTATTTTTCTGCTGCTTAGCATCCAATATAATAATTTATTAGTAGTTTTTTTAAATCAATTTTTTCTTTGATAAGTTAATTTGATTTAGAAGTCTAGTATCTTAACTAAGTAAAAATGTGGTAATAGATGTGTTTTAATAATTGTTGAAAGAAATAATTTAGGTCGCTAGCAAAAATCGAGAGAATAAGAAATTTGTTATATTTAGTTAACTTATGAATTAATATTTTAATCATTTTATCAGATACAATACAAATGCTACCGTTTAACTTTAAAATTTTATATAAAGCCTAACTAAAAATGGGATAAGTTTAAATATAGTTTTTAAAGTATAAATAACTTTTTAAAATCAAAATAGATAAATTAGAAAAATATTTTCAAAATGTAGAGGGGAAATTAAATAATGGTGTTTAGAGAAATTAAAACATTGGGGGAAAAATATATATCATATATAGTGAAAAAAAGGATATTTATTATTATTATTTTATTATCTTAGAAGTAAGAAATGGGCCGACAAGATGTTGAAATTCAATGCAATTCATTTAACAAAAGATGTTTTTTTGAATACACTAAGAGAGTTTTTACATTTTAGTTTCAAAATTTTACATGTGTTTAAAAGTTTTTAAAAACCACTATATATAAATTTGGAAATCTATAAACAATACAGAAAAAAAATTAGATAATGAATTAACAATAAAATATATATATTACTGAAATTTTATGGCTTACTTATTATTACAACTTACTTCAAGCAGTTTTTTCAGCCTTTTGGAATTTTTAATTGACCGTGTTGCATTGATAATGACGTTGATATTCTAGATAAATAAATAAATAGCATGAATCATCTCAAAAGCAGAAAAAGGTTAATAAAGGAGGGAAAATATGTTAATTTATCAATTCATAAGTGCAAGATACCTAAACATAAAAGAGGGGTAGTAACTAAGATGCAATTCACAAAATTTAAAACTGTTCAGATGACACTTAGTAATACTAAAATATGATTATTGCCAGCATGTCATAAATAGCACAGGGAATGTACATAAAAGGGTATACAACAAATTAGTAAAAACTCTAATTATTGTGCTGAATCATACTTTATACAGTAAAACTCTGGGAAGGATGGACTAAAGGAAACAGAAAAATGCTTGTAAAATACAGTTGTTCGTAAATATGAAATTAACATTAGAGCAAAAAGAATTAAGAAAGAGGAACTTACTTTACTAACTTCATTTTACATATTTTTTTTTACGCATCTCAAAATTTTTGTCTCTATAAGAGTTTTATGAATATCATTCTAGAAGTAAACGAGAAAAAAAACTTTAAAAAAGCAATTTTTAGAGTTTTTTTTAATACTTTATAGAAGCACCTTCTTTCTTTTTTTAAAGGAAAATTGCACAAAAAATCTTGATACACCAAAGTTTTTTTCTTTCTTTCTTTACTTTTTTTGGTTATAGTCTTTAAATCATTTAGTTGTACAGTAACAACATTTCACAGAATTGGTGAACAACAGATCTTTCATAAATGTAATAAGTTTTACACAAGTCACAATTTCTCAGAATGATTTTGTATTAAAATGTTTGAGTTGAACCTTGACAACGAAAGTTATACAATTAAAAAATACCATTCAAAAAACTTCCATAATATATTTAATAAAAACTAAATAACATAAAATTATCATGAGTAAGTTTCAGGAGAAAGATTTAAGTTTTATGAACTATTTTATGTTACTTGTTTAAAATATATCATAAATTTAAAAAAAAATTATGAACTTACTAGAGTAATAAGTTGAATATTTTTGGTGAATCCAGCCATGTAAGACATGGTATTGAGCTTCTGAGATAACCTTTCAACTTTAGACAGCTATAAAATAATTAAATTAACTTCATAAGGCTTTAAAATAAAAATCAAATATTGTATTAAACCAACATACAGTTCACAAATATATTTTAAAATCAAATACATATTTCATAAAATCAAACAAGTCTGAAATAGGAACTTGTCTTCGTCTGTTAAAGCATCAACAGACTTCCAATTGCGTTCATATTCTTTATGAGCCTTCATCTAAAAACAAACAACTTTTGTCAATTTTGAACAATTCATTATTATTATTATTTGAAATCCCAAAATGGAATTAAAGTTATCTCACTTATAACAGCATAGAGTGAGTTTTGACTGGCAGATGCTAGTGAAACTTTATAGATGTCATTAATTGGATCATGGGAAAAGAAATGTACAATTAAAAAGTTCACGTTTCAATCAACTGATGGAAAGGAAAATTATTCTGCCCAACAAAAATTATTCTGTCTTAAAAAATCTGTAGGAAATTATTCAAACCACTACTATTTTGTGTAACGGCTCAATAAAAGTGAAACAACTGGGATTCTCTATGAATGAAAAAGAAAGAGTGATGGGACCACCTATTTCTTAACTTAAAGAGTACTAGGCATACTGTATCCTCGTGGTGGAACCAGCTCAAAATCTCTTCCAACATTGTAAATTTCTTTTCAAAGGGTTCAATACTTTTATCAATCATATTTTTTCTTGTTTGAAAACTGTATTTTTCGCTTTTTGTGAAGTGCTGTAAGAGGTGGTTTATTTTTCAGTTAAAACAAGTGGCATTCACATTCTTATTGATTTTATTTTTGCTCAGACTTAATAGAAGTAGACAGAAGAATTACGTCAAAGCCACAAATTGCTTAAAGTATTTAATATACTGGAAAGCACTTTGTTTATAATAATTAAAAATTGGGATCTAATTGTGAAGAAAGGAGAACAATGTGTTCTAATTTCACTCCATTATTTTTGTGAGAGAAAATTTCAAAATCTAGAAAAAGCACTGAATGACATTCTAAAAATTATGTGTAACACTGAATGTCATTTGAAAAACATATCACGAATTACATTAATATGACTTTCACTTTATTGACATAAAAAAAAAAAACTGTTAATGTCAATTATTCTATTTGTTTCACATTTCTTTTTAATGTAAAATATGTTTTTCTCAAAATGAAATAAGTTCAGCATTTATGAATAAGTAAATATTTGCATTAGTCTTGTCTACATGATATAGCCATGTCACATTATAAGGACCATTTTTCGTTGGACCACTGGGGTCATGTCGAGCGTTAACTGTAGCTGGTGAAAGTGGAATGTACATTAAACATATTTTAAATATTTTATCTTTAATTTTTTTTTTTTTGTTCTTAATGGGTGCTCTTTTCTCAACTCTAAGTCAAACCTCGAAATGATGTTTTTAATGCTAATCCAAACAATGCAAGTGTAGGATGGTCTAAACAAAACATAGACTGAATTTCATTAACTATTAACTAGAATGGACAAAATGTTGGTCCAAACATAGTAAATGAAATCACTCTAAAGTTTCAACATAAGATATAAATGGTAATCATAAATTAAAGTGTTCGGTAGGTGAACTCACTTCAGCTTCAGTTGGAACCATTCTAATAAGTACTTCAACATACTCCTGAGAGAGAGTTGTCAAATCTAATGCATTAATAGCCCTCACAACCACACCACAAGGAAGCTCAACCTTCTGTCCAGATGGCCATATTTTTCAATCTGTTGTGTTCCAATAAAGTAACTTTTTCAGGTACCTACAAAGAAATCATTATTTTATTATCTTTTACTCTTTAGAAAAATTTGGCTTGTAGCAATGAAAAGTTTTCAGTTACTTTGAATCTCTTACTACTGTTTATATCCTCATTACGATCTGAAAAACCTCCCTGGATTCCCAATTTGAAATGTTCTTCGAACTCAGTGAAGTCTATAACCTGAAATACATTATTTAAAGTTAAAGTAGCTAATTAAATACAAAATTAGTTCAAATAAAATCCTCTAAAAACAAAATACATAATTTTAGTTAATTTCAAGAAATGTAAAAAGCACGAGAAATAATTGTCAATTTTATATTTTTAGTCTTTTTCTTTTATTTACTTTAAAATTAACTCAATTTTTTTTCCGAACAATAAATGAAGGCAGTTTTTTGCTGAAGAGAAAGCTCGCATTTGCCTTTGAATAAGATAAGAAAAATTAGAATTACTATTTTTTGTTGTTTTGATTTATTTTGCCACTAATCTTCAGGTTAATCTTAATTATCTATATCACCAAAAACCCGGATTTGTGTTGGACAGCGGTCACAAAATTCCCTAACAAACATCATCATTTTCAAGTACATACGGAGGACATCTACAAGATCATTCATATCATGAATGATCAAATTAGTAAAGGGGATTTTTGCCAAATATTTGATGATTGACTGATTAGACCTCTCCTGTTAAAGTTATGTAGTGTGGGTATCTTGATCCTGATTGATTGTTGAAATGTGGCAATTGTTAACATTAGCAACTGTTCTTTCCATTCTATTTTGAGTAAGCCAAAGTTATCAAGTATCAATTCTCCTAAGTGACTCATACTATATTTTTCTCACAAAGATTTCAATTACATTCTTACTTAACATAAAGATAGGAAACAAAGTCATGGAGAACAAAAGCAAACTATTTATGAATCAACGTAGCCAGGCACACAAAGCAAAAATCTATTAAGGTTACAATAAAATACATAAATAAATAATAAGTCTAAGTTAAGTAAGAGACGTAGACAAGAAAGAATTATATTTAAACAAATTTAATGTGTGATATAACTCAGTATTTATTAACTTCATGTTAATTAACATTCTAAGTCATGTGGATAAACATAGTTCAACATTAACACGCCATTTTGCTAAGAAACAATCAGCTGACGCCAACGTCACAGGTGTAGGTATCTGTGATCTTCAATGATTCCAAATGGCACAGCTGAATAAATATTCATTCAACTGGCCAATATTTTTTTTTTTTAAATTAATTTTAGTCTAAATATTTTTGTATAAAAAATTTATACTTTCAAAATGTTTTGATTTTTAAAGCTGATAAAAAAAAGTTTTTGAGGAAAATAAATTTAGTGGATAAAAATTTTTGTTTTGTAATTTTAAATCAATTTTTAAAAAATTCATTCTGTGCAGAAAAACTTAAAAAAGGTAAAAGGAACTCGGAAAAAGGCAACATTAAATTGTAATTGAAACATTTTTTACCAACAATACTGACATGTTTTATCACAGCAATTTAAATAAATAATAATTGGTAATCTATTAGAATCAGGTGCTTACATTGTACATAATTCAAAAAAAAAAAAAATATTTTAAAGAGAATACAATACGCAATTATAAGAATATTTTGTAGGTAACAATGGCTTTTTTTTTTAAACTTAAAATTAATTTCTTTTTACGCTTACAGAAAATATTGGTTTGAATTTTTCATAAATCATATATTTTCCATTGTTTTTTTTAAAATTTTCTTAATGAAATATAATATTTTAACGCACACCATCTCAAGAGCATTTAATTGAGAATTTCGACCCATGTATCCACACACCACTAAAGATTAGTATACTTTCTAGTAAAAACTGAAATTAAATTCATAATTATTTTTATTAAAGGAGACGAAGCTGCAAAATTTCTTAGCATAGCTTACACAAATTTCAAGGGTAGAAAATCCAACAGAACACTCATAGAGTCATAAACAAAATGTACCAGATATTTCGAAATAGGAATTAGCTTAGAGCATATAAAATTAATTCTTAGAAGAACATATTAAAATGAAAATAAAAATCTTGCCTTAAGCTCTTGTGGTTCAAACTAAGGGCAATACAATTGATGGCTTGCGTGCGTTCAATCACCATATTGAATCCATACTGAAATATAAAATAGTTTATTGTAGGTATTAAAAGAAACAAATAAAAAGTAATAAGAGAAAAAATAAATTGTTCTTTCAGTGTGTTACTTTTCAGTTTGATAAACAGAATGTTTGGAGAATAAGAACTATTTAGCAAGAACTAGTAAATCTCCAAACTAAGATGCTAATTCATATTTGGTACAAATTATTACCTTTGCAATACAAAATTTGCCGAAACCAAAAAAGTATGAGATTTTTAAAAATGTAATCAGTGTCCCTTAAATGTGCAAAATAAATTAATAGCTACTTACATTCTTAGCTTTAAAATATAGTTTAAAAAAATGTGATCATATATAATTTGAAGAGTATAATTGTCAATGCTTGTCATGAGTACTACATTTAATATAATCACTTTTAATGTGACTTATCATTTAATATGATTATATAGATTTCTGAAGATTTTAACTTCCATAAATAGCTGGATTTACAACAACGATTACTACTTTACTTTACTCAGTTTATTCAGAAAATGAAGCATAATATGTTTGCAAACATAATCAAAAAGCAAATAATTCTTCAGTGACTCGAGAGCCCTAGGTGGGCCCTGGACATTTCTTGATAATTTCTCCAGGCATCTTGATATTTGGTGGTGACTACATTCCATTTCCTAATGATAAGAATGTTTAGGTCATTCTCAACACAGTCGATCCATCTTAGCAGGGGTCAATCGTGAGGTTTTTTTTCCCATAAGCTTTGCCAAAAAGACCTTCTTCCCTTCAGAGGACCAGCCCACGTGGGATTTTACAATATCAGGTTCTTTAAAAATCCTGTAAAGCTCTACATTATTTCTTCTTCTCCATGAAGCATTTATCTGGATCTCACCAAGTATACTACTTCTCAAAAGTTTTCTCTCAAAAATCCCCAGAATCTTGGCATTACGTAAAGTCAATGCCCAAATCTCTAATACATTTGTCAAGATAGATCTAATAAGACTTTTGTAAAGAAGCAGTTTAGTTCCAAGTTTAAGAAAGTCTGATTTTAAAAAATTTTTCAGGCTATAAAAAAATCTGTTAGCTAATGTACTTCCTTTGCATATTTAAGGAGTTAAAGTAAAAGGTAAATATTTAGTAACAGCC